CGTGTGGAGAATTATCTAGATTGGACTGATTGAGGTGGAAAAACTCACTGTTGTCGTCTGATTGCCGTGGCTGTGATAAAACACTTTGACCAAAAGCAACCATAAGGGGAGAAAGGGTTTATTTATCTGGCTCACACTCCCAGGTCACAGTCCATCACTGAGGGAAGTCAGGGCAGGAACTTAAGCGGAAACCATGGAGGACACCGGTCACGGCCTTGTTCTTTGACTCAAGCTCAGGTAGCTTTTTTTCTTCTTCCAGTTTTTCGAGACAGGGTTTCTCCGTGTAGTTTTGGTACCTGTCCTGGATCTCGCTCTGTAGATCAGGCTGGCCTCGAACTCATAGAGATTCGCCTGGCTCTGCCTCCTGAGTGCTGGGATTAAAGATGTGCACCACTGCTGTCTGGCTCAGTTAGCTTCCTTACACAGCCTAGGGAATGGTGCTGCCCACAGTGGGCTGGGCCCTCCCTTATCAATTAGTAATTAAGATAACCACCCCCAGGCATGCCCAATTTGATCTAGATGATTCATCCGTTGAGGCTGTGCTCTCAGAGGACTCTAGGCTGTGTCAAGTTGATAGAGCTAACGGGAACACTACCTCTAAACATACGCAGCACCATCCTGTGGATAAGGATGCTACACTTAGGACAAAGTGAGCTGAGTACCAGCATCCATTTTTCTTTCTTTCTTTCTGACTGTGGACTTCAAACTGTGAGCCTAAGGAAAACCTTCCTGGAGTTGCTTGTGGCAGGGCATTTTATCACATCAAGTGTAAAGTAATCAAGACACAACCTGGCAAATGGAGCCAGCAATCTGAACTTCAAGAGATAGGGTATTTGGTACCCATCAAGGTGACGTACTTAGCTGTCATCTAGGATTATGATGTTAATGCTGCCCCAAGATGATGCCCAAGGCTACTGTGATTTTGAAGGTGGGATTTAACAGTGTTTTGACAAGGAAGGTAGGTCAGAGGCTTGGTGAACAGGAGGCGTCAGTGTTGTGACTCTTCCTTCTCATTTCTCTTCTTTCTTTCTCTCCTTCTCTTCTTTCTCTCTTTCTCTTCTTTCTCTCTCTCTTTCTCTTCTTTCTTTCTCTTTCCCTTCTCTCTTTCTCTCTCTCTTCTTTCTTTCCTTTCTCTCTTTCTCCTCTCTCTCTCTCTCTCTCTCTCTCTCTCTCTCTCTCTCTCTCTCTCTTTCTTTCTTTCCTTTTTTCAGACAGGGTTTCTCTATATAGCCCTAGCCCTGGCTGTCCTGGAACTCACTCTGTAGACCAGGCTGGCCTCATACTCACAGAGATCCACCTGCCTCTGCTTCCCGATCCTGGAATTGAAGGTTGTATGCCATAATGCCTGGCTATCTCACCTTGATTTTTTAAAAAAATTTATTTGTTTTACGTTTTTTTTTTTTGCTTGTTTGTTTTTGTTTTTTTGTTTTGTTTTGTTTTTTGTTTTTCAAGACAGGGCTTCTCTGTGTATCCCTGGCTGTCCTGGAACTTGATTTGTAAACCAGGCTGGCCTTGAACTCACTGAGATCCGCCTGCCTCTGCCTCCGGAGTGCTGAGATTAAAGGTGTATGCCCCCACCACCTGGCTTATTTTAATTTTTTTTTGAGACTGATTCTTACTCTGTAGACTAGGCTGATCTGGAATTCACTATCCCCCTGCCTCACCTTCCCTAGTGCTGGGATTGAAGATCTGTACTACTATGCTTGGCTAAATTATTTTTTATTATTTATTATTTTTAATCAGTAGCTTTTCTTTTACATTTACCTATTTCTCTGTGTGTGTCTGTGTCTGTGTGTCTCTGTATGTGTGGGCATGCCACAGTGTGTATGTGGAGGTCAGAGGGCAACTTGAAGGAGTTGGTTCTCTCCTTCCACCCTGTGGATCTGGCAATTGAACTCAGGCTGGCAGACTTGGTGGCACACACTTACTGAGCCATCTCACTGACCCGCCTTATTTTGTATTGGTTCCTAAAAACATGGAACCTGCCATGTCCGTGGTACATCACGTCTTCTCCTGGTGTGGACACACACTGTGAGATCAGGGTAGACTTCCATCGCCACAGACATTTATCATTCTTCATGGTAAAGATACCCACCTTTCTTTCAGCTTTTTTTTTTTTTTTTTTTTTTTTGTCTTTCAGAGACAAGGTTTTGCTCTGTGGCCCAGGCTGGCCTCAAATCCCCAATCCTCTTGCCTCAGCTTCCTGGGAATTTAACTGACTCTCTTTGCTAGCTTTTGAGATTCGTGGGACATAGCTCCTCTCTGTAGTCAATCCCCTGTGAAGCAGAACAGCAGAGATTCCTATCCCTGTCTAGCTACAATGTGGTAAAAATTGTTGAGATAGATAGATAGATACATAGATAGATTGATAGATAGATAGAGAATGTGTGTGTATATGTGGTGTGTGTGTGGTGTGGTGTGTGTGTGTGTGTGTGTGTGTGCGTGCACACGTGCGCACGAGTGGCTGGGCATGGAGCCTAGGGTTTTCCGCATGCTAGACAAGCATTCTACCAGCAAGCTGTGGACCCAGCTCTTTTAAACACCACCCCATGTCAACCCATGTCATTCTCCATCGTTCCTTCGGCTGCTCACCAGCTCCCTTCACGTACATACAAGCTGATTATTCAGTCAGCTTTCCCTGGATGAGCATCCAGGCCGCTCTCTGGCGTTTGATCCTGTGGGGACATTCCACAACAAATACTTTTGTATACAGGTCTTTGATCACACGATTTAGAGCCTCTGGAGTATAAATTCCTAGGAATAGCCTTACTTCACCAGAGAGAACGCGTCTTTAACCTCTGCAGAGACTTAGCCAAATTGTCTCTCTGGAAAGGCCAAACTGATGCTGACTCACTCTGAACCTCTGTCAGAACTGACCAGCTTCACACATCTGGCCTTTCAGTGGCCATTCCAACCGGAGAAGTCTGGCTGACTGTCCTCTGTAGTCTTTATGATCCTGGGATGCACTGAGCAAGGTTGGGAGGGTGAGCTGCTTTAAAAATAGTTAAAAAACAGTTTGTGTTCCTTTTTCCTTCAACTGTGTTACTGTGCCTAAGCGTTCTGTTGATTTCCTTCTCATTAATAGGTTTTTTCTCTCTTTCTCCTTCCTTCCTTCCTTCCTTCCTTCCTTCCTTCCTTCCTTCCTTCCTTCCTTCCTTCTTTCCTTCCTTCCTTCCCTGCCTCCCTCCTTCCCTCTTTCCCTCCTTTCTCTTCTGTCTGAGGATTGAATCCAGGTCCTCACACATATTATGTGAACATTCTACCACTGAACCGTATTCCTGGCCCACAGGAATTTTAATAATACAGTAAGTAAATTGAATACATCTTAAAAAGAAATCAATGTGTTTCTGTCATAAATACTTCGAGCATGTTGCCTCAAAGTTTTTTTCCGGTGTATTTCCTATATAGAAATTTTCAAAATCGGCTAAATGTAAAACCTCAGAAAACTTCTATTTATTTGTGTATTTATTTGAATCAGGGTCTCGCGCAGCTCAGATTGACCTAGAACTCACTGTTTCATGGAGGCTGGCTTTGAACTTCTAACCCTTCCACCTCCCAAGAGGGAGGGAAGGATGTGTTGGAGTTGGGGTGATGGAGATGAGGGAACGCTGGGTAGTTCACGGACGGCTACTTCAAAATGTCATAATTGTTACAATTGAAGGGCAGAGAGAGTCCCCTAAACCCTAATTACATGCGGGCACAAGGCACAGGTCACCGTACCTGGCTCACCTTTTTCTTTTTAGATTGGATCTCACTATGTAGCCCAGGCTGGCCTCAAACACAGAGATCCCCAAACTGAGATTAAAGCCACGTACCACCCCACCCCAGCCTCTAGCTCAGCTTTTATGTCACACTCACATTTTGAACCATCAGAAGTATTAGTGAGGTAAGGTCTTATTTTTTTCCCAGATGCCTAGCTGACTTCAGTGCCTGTGGTGAATAGATCTTTGGTTTAAAATGCCACTTTTATCATAAGCCAACTGTCTCTAGGTAGTAGAGCCTCCCGAGGCCTCTCCTCCCACTGAACATCTGTCCACATGCGTGGTACACAACGTCCGAGAACTGCATCCTCCATGCTTGTCCCTAGCTCCCCTCAAGACCTCTGCTGTCCTTATCACCTCTAGTACACCCCCCCCCCCGCCCCCCCCCCATGCCCTCTCCAGGTCCTCTTATTTATTTTTGGCTATAGCTATTTTTGTTTATTTTTATGTTTTGGGGTGCATGCACACATGCATGTGTACAGGGTCTCAAAAACTCTCACTGAACCCGAACGCATGTTCTAGCTAACCTGGCTGGCCTGTGAGCTCCCAGGATCCCCGTGTCTCTGCCTCCCCAGCATCGGGATCATCAGTGTTTATCACCCCACCTGGTTTCATGTGGGGATGGGAGACAGAACTCAGGTACTCAGCGCCTGTGTGGCAATCAGTTTGTCAGCTCAGCCACCTTCCCAGCCCTCCAGCGGGACTTTCACTTCTCTTTACAAATAGGGGGAGGACGTGCGATCTTGCGGGTTACTGTTAAAGAACACAGGGGAGTGTTTGTCAGGGGCCTCTCTCAGGCCCGGCATCTTCTCCCTGTGAAGTCATTTCAAACCTCGTTTCATTCTGTGGTCCAATTAGGATCAGATGTTGCCTCTAAAGCCACTCCAAGTAACAGCACAATAATGGGCATTTCTGCCTTTTCCCCACACTAATGGGCAGCTCCTAGCCCTGTACCGACATGCACGGGGGCTTTTGTTTCCTTGAGTTAGGGGAGGTCCCTCCCTATTTGTCCTGCTCTGTCCAATTAAGAAACTAGCCATTGATTTCTAATTTAAAGTGGTGGTTTCTGTTTAACCAGGAGCGTGTATTGAATTTTCTTAATGCCTTTTCAGCCAGGTCCGTGGTCATCACGACAGTCTCACTGTTTTTCAGTCTCTGAGTGCTCAGGGTCACAGCTCTTATCTCCAGTTCCTTCCTCCCTAATTGTGGTGTAAACTTTTTGGTCCTTTCTCTCTGCAGGGTTTGCGGTCCTGGCTTCTGCTTCTCATTACTGGCCCTTGGAAAATGTGGATGGGATCCTTGAGCTTCAGGACACAACTGGAGGTAGACAAGGGTGGTGAGCATGCCTGCCATGTGGGGATAGCGCCTCCTAGGGGCTGGGGCATCTGGAGAGAGGGAAAGACTCTAGATGCCCCAGGACGCATTGGAGCTGGAGCAAATGGAGATGAGCGATCGCTCTGTTTCACTGATAGTCACTGCAAAGTGTTTTATGAGACCATCTATACATTGTTACGATAGAAGGGCAGGGTTTCCTAAACCTTAATCGGTGTACAACCTTCTGCTCTGGCGTGAGTCTGGGTAGAAGTTTGTGGGTGGACGGAGCTGAGTTGCCACAACAAGCTGATATGCGGATTATTGTCTTAAGGTCACTGTTTCCCGAAGCAAGGTGTCCCCTGTCTGCCAAGCACTTAGCCAAACACCAGCCAACATCCCCTAAGATGTTCTTCCTGGTGTTAACTCCACAGGAGGTGTCAGGGGCTCTGTCTCATTGAACTCAGACCATAATACTGGAGAAACTCAGGACAGTTGTGAGCATGTCCATTCCAACAAGAACTCCTTTTTTTTTTTTTAAGTATTGATTCAGAATTAATTTTGAAGGTCTTCCACTTTATTTTTATATACTTGCTGCTCTTATGAACATCAAATGTGTCAAGCATGCACACACACACACACACACACACACACACACACACTCTCTCTCTCTCTCTCTCTCTCTCTCTCTCTCTCTCTCTCTTATGGTATTGTTCTGTATATACACAAGTTGGAGTGCAATGTATTCAAAACACTACTGGTGTGCAAATTCCCCACCCCTGTGCGTCTTCCTCTTTGATACGACTCAAGCACAGTGGGAAACTGTCGCAGAAGGTTCCAAAATGTCTCCCTACAACTTTGGAATCCAGGGGCTGGTTGAGGTAGTTTAGTGAGTAAAGGTGCTTGCTGCCAAGCATCTCGACTCGAGTTCGATTCCCAAGATTTCCATGGTAGAAGAAGTGAATCCAGAAGATTATCCTCTTACCTCAACTTATGCCCCATGGTATACACAAGCCCCATTCTCTAAAATAGAAAAAGAGTTGGCAATATGGCTTAGTAGATAAAGGCACTTGCTCTCACAATCTGAGTTCAATCTCCAGGACCCACATGGAAGAAGGGGGAGAATACACTCTGCCTCAAGTTGTCCTCTGACCTTTACATACATGCTGTGTCATGCAAGCACGTGTGTGTGTGTGTGTGTGTGTGTGTGTGTGTGCATATACAACAGATACATGTGTATTTTAAAAACTAAAATAAAATAATGTTTTGTTTTTATTTTAAATTAAAAGCAAACTAAAACAAAAATCTTCCAAGTCTAGAAGCTCCAGCTGGGGTCTTGGAGCTGGTGGTGGGTGTGGCCTCTGTGAAGGGCTCAGCCCAACTGTACTGTATCCTCCATCCTTCGTGGGCTCTCCCATGTGGTAGGATGCTGGTGGCCCCTGCAGACTGTATGGCAGCCAAGAATTTTTTCCACTCTGCTGTAGTAAGAAGGGCGACAGCACCCTGTGCTAGCCGGTGTGTTGGATCAGGGGAAAACAGACCATCGGCCTTCGTCATGATCTAAATTTCTTCTCTGGAAGTCTTTATTTTGAAACCCCTGAGAGGCGATCACCTGGATAAGTGGAAGAGCATTGTTCGGGACCCCAGAGCCCCCATCCTAGGCATTTTTACCCTGTCTCCCCAGCTTAGCTCACTGCTGCTGATTACGTCAGTAGCTCCTGATGTTCTGAAGTCCCACGATCACCCAGACACACAGCAGGAACTCCTCAGTGCCCCCATGCCTGTCCCCACACTGTGCAACGTGGTGCTGGCACTGTGGCTTCCTGTTGGAGCCTCCTCGGCAGTCTCTGTTGCTGAACAGGTGTGTGTCATCACGAGAGCAGGTTCCCCAGGATGGAGAGACAAGCTGGGATCTACCAGCACCTCTCAAGGCTGGGGACGGCGGCAGAACGGCTCTGGATGCCACCTCCTGGACGTGCAGCCCTTTGTCTGTGGCTGAACCCTCTGTTGTCTCGTCCGCTGCCATCTCACGCAGCTGTTTTTCCACAGTGTTTGTCTCTCATTGGTCCTTCACATCACACCCCTTTCCCTATGTTGTTATCACTGCTTCATGAACGGCTGAGTTCAACTCTCCATCTCTCAGCTACGCATCCCGGGGGGG